TATTAGCTATACCAATAAGATGTATATAATTTTTGATAACTCATAACTTAAGAACTTTATAGTTAAACGTGTTTGACTAGAAATAATTTAATTAGGAGGTGACCTTTTGAGAAATTTATCATAAAGTACGTGGTGATGATACATCAAACCGAAGAGTCTTGTGTGTTTGCTTGCGAGGACTTTCATTGATCCTATAAAGCAATCGAACATCTAAAAAATTACTAGTCATGAAGGATTTTGACCAGTGAAGAATTATGATTAATAAGGAGTTAAGTGAAGTATTATCATACGAAGTGTTATGAAGTATAGTCGTTGAACCGTTAAATTTGTGAGGTGTTAAATGATCCATTTGTTGGGATCCCTTATGTTAAAATTCATTTTGGCAATGTAGAGTTCAATCGACATCTCCGATATGAGCTAATGTCAATGTAAGTATCTAAGAGTATACGAATGACAATGGCTAACATTTAGTGTCCTAACAAAGTGATACAAATAAAGATTTGGGTATTTATATTATATTAGTGTCAATGGCTAAACTTTAGGGGCCTAATGATGATGCAAGTAAAAATGCAAGTATTTAGAGCATATCGACAATAATAGTTAAGTTATAAAGACTACCATTAAATACTTGTACATGAAAAAAGGTCACTACTTAAGGGACATTATATAATGTGGAAGAGACTTGTACTTGGAGGAATTATTTGTATGTTTATGTGAATGAGAAGTCCCACATAAGATAAAATTAGTATATTGACTAACATAAATAAAAAAGACTTACAAACTTTATATATATATATATATATATATATATCTTTTGTAATTAGATCCCTTAAATTAATAAAAGTGTCACAAATTGTTCTTTTTGTGGTGACTTCAAAAAACCATAAATTCACTTCAAAGACTTAATATATATATATTATAGTTAAAATGTGGTATAAGTTCCGATTATGTATTTTCTTGTGACCTTATATTGGAATTTTCCCAAGAGTGTAACCCCTCTTATTTCCAACACTACAAATTGATGAAAAGGAAAAACAAGGCTATATGTTTTAGTTGTGATAAAAGGTTCCATCACTTAAAGCAATGTGAAAAAAAATAATTAATATTTGTAATTTTGGGATATAGTAAAACCTTAAATGAAAATGGATAAATATATGATATTGAAGTGAATAATGAGAAAGATCAACTTTGGGAAAAGGCAGATTTTTAGTTAGCAAGAGCTAAATTACAGGAACTGAGTTAGGGGCAATTATGACAATTGTTGTCAAGAATTATTAACAATTACATATTAAAAATGTCTAATAATGATTGTCATTAACAATTATGTATTATTAGAATATATTCAACGGTATCGTTATGTTGGTAGATTAAGAAAGAAAGTTAAGATTAAATAATAATAATAAAATAATAATAATAATAATAAATAATAATAATAATTATTATTTTTATTAGCGTGTGTGTGATAATAAGAATGATACAAGTGATGTTTAAGTGGTGCTCTACCATCGTCATTCTTACTCTTTAATTCTTACTCATTACTCATGATATATGTTATTGCCCATAACACTTGCGTTTTCATATGATCTTATTAAATTATATTTTAAATTTATCTTAAACATATTTTTAGTTTTCCAAATTCAAAATAATTTTTAAAAATTTTGTTTTAGTCTCCAAACCACTAATAATATATCTAAAAGTGATAAATTGAGATAATTATAGAATATTTAGAGTTTAATGAAATATTTTTACTAACATGAATGCTAGTAGATGGTTTTTATGTAATAGAATTTAACAAATTCTCTAACAAAATTTGAATATAAGGAGTAAAATAAGATTTTTTGAAATTAAAGAGACTAAAAAAATTAATTTTAAATTTAAGATATTAAAAATAAATTTACCTTAAATTTAAAAGACTTAAATATATTTAAGTTTTTAAATTTTTATTCTTTATTATTTATTATCTATTGTCTATATTATATTTATTTTCCACATTATGAATGAGGTTAACTTATATTTGGATACTATAATTGGTCCTCTCTCTCTCTCTCTCTCTATATATATA